TAAATTACATTTTGTTTTATTTTTTCCTAAATGGTATTGTGTATGTTTGAATTTAAAAATGTCAAATGCATTTTTTTTTCAAATATACCAAATTATATTTAAATATTTTAAGCTATATTTAAATTTTCCCACCAAAAAATTAAAATTTGAAATTCCCGCGTAATTTCCCGCTTGAATTAGTTCCGATACAAATCTTATGGAGCGCTGAATTTCATATCCAACTAAAGTATTGTCGTGGAACATCTAGGAGAGGTAGGTGATCTGTGGTCTACCTTCACTCGTTGGCAAGCTAGCACGTCGTAAATAACAGGTACCAAGTTTAAAAACGAGATACGTGCCAGTTAAACAACAAGACGGAGTTTTTATACCTTTAAGAATAATACCGAAGGTTTACGTTTTCAAAAAGCGCCCCTACGAAAAAAAGGACATGGAAATAGCCCTAAAGCTAATAGAGGATGGCACTCTCTTAGAAGTGCAGCTACACAGTTTAAAATTAACAAAACTGCTCTTTCGAGAAGACGTACTGGTGTACTTGGTAAAGAGGAAAGAAAAACTTCTCTAATCAAAGAAATTGAAAAAGACTTAAGTGATAAGATAAAAATTATGGCAAAATATGGGTTTGCTCTCACTAAACCGGAGATGCGAGCAATAGTTCAAACCTATGTACTAGAAAACTACCTTACTACCCAGTTTAAGGAAGGAAAGCTTGACAAAGAGTGGTTTAAAAATTTTTGCAAGCGTAACAGACCTGTCAAAAAAAGTCAAAAAAAGCTTAAGCAAGTGGAAAGATGTAGAAGGTCAGCTACAAGTGATCCATTCATCATCTTTGGCTTTTACGTTCGCCTGAATACTTGCATATCTGATTTCAAATTGCAAGATAAGCCCGGTCATATCTGGAATTTAGACGAGACCAGTTTTTCTTCCGATCCAACAAGAATAAAAGGCATTGCTGGTATGGGTCAGAAAGTTCACCGGAACATAGAGCGGTCAGGAAAGGAAAATACCACCGTAATCGCCTGCATTTCAGGAAGTGGTACTTTGTTTCCTCCTCTAATAATTTTCCAAGGGCAAAATTTATGGAGCAGTTGGAAAGGTAAGATGTCAACCTTTTGTTAAAATATATTTAGTAATAAAAATATGTTTTTAGGTAAGGCCGATTTACCAAATACATGCTACGCAGCCTCTGAAAAGGGATGGATAACTTGTAAGATTTTTCAAGAGTGGTTCCAAAAGTTTTTTGCACTCTTTCATGAATGCCCACTTCTTATCATACTGGATGGACATGTTACCCATTTGGATAAATCGACGATAAACTGACTTACTGCAACCGCTTAACAGATGTTGCTTTGGTCCATTGAAATTGAAATGGAATGAAGCTTTGATTAACTGGCAAACACTTATCTAAAATCAGAGAACACCATCTAGAAGCAAATTTGGTGATTTGATTTGTAGCATTAAATGAAGGTTTATCTGCAGAATTTATTAAATCTTCTTTTAAAAGATTGGGATATTTCCATGCGATAAGAACAGATATCCAGCAGAACGCTTAGATCCTGCAAAGCTACTTGGATATTAAGAACACGGGGTGTTTAAAAATCCACTTGATATTTTCGAAGATTGCGCTGAAATACTCCACTGCCGTAGACCGAACAGTTTATTGAGTCTGTTTCAGATCAATCTAACACTGCTTCTCTTAAGCAAAAGTCCTAACAACAGAAGAGTATTTAAAGAAAATACAGGAGAAAGTCAGCAGGTCCGGACAATGTACCCTGCGAAATATTAAAGATCCTATGTAAATCAGACAAACAGTTCCTTGATAATCTAGTTGTACTTTTTAACAACATATATAATAGCGGTAAAATCCCGGAGAACTGGCTACAGTCAACATTTATTACAATCCTGAAGAAACCAAATGCCCAGATTTGTGATGACTACCGGCTTATAAGCTTGATCAATCATGTCACTAAAGCGTTCACTAAGATCATTCACAGAAGAATATATGACAAATGTGAGTCAAATATTGATAGATCGCAGTTTGGTTTTCGGAAAGCACTTGGAACTAGAGAAGCAATTTTCGCTCTCCAGGTGCTTATACAACGGTGTAGAGACGTTGATAAAGACGTGTATCTGTGCTTTGTAGATTTTAGAAAAGCATTTGACAATGTTAATCATGAACAATTGATAGGTATTCTGCGAAAGACAGGTATTGACGACAAGGACATTCGAATTGTGGCAAACCTATACTGGGGTCAAACAGCAAGAGCAAAAATTGGCAACGAACTCACTGAAAGCGTGCAGATCAAAAGAGGTGTCCGTCAGGGGTGTATATTATCCCCACTCCTATTCAATATGTATTCCGAGGAAATATTTAACAAATGTATGGAAAATGCAAATGAGGGCAATAAAATAAACGGCGAGTTAACGAACAATATAAGATACGCCGACGACACGGTGATCCTTGCCAGTACCATAGACGAATTACAACAAGTAATGGAAAGACTTTATTCAGTTAGTGAGGAATACGGCCTGAGCCTCAACTTCAAGAAGACAAAGTGAATGCTGATAAGCAAAAAGCAACAACCTGCTCGACAATTACGGATAAGTAACATATTAACTGACCATGTAGAATCTTATGTGTACCTTGGCACCAACGTAAATGGAAAATGGGAACAGACCATAGAAATTAAGGCGAGAATAGAACGAGCTAGAGCAGCATTTAGCAATATGAAAAAGCTCCTCATAAGCAAGGATTTGTCTCTTCCCCTAAAACTACGTATAGTTAAATGCTACATTTTTCCGATCTTGCTGTATGGCGTGGAGGCCTGGACGCTGACGAAGACGCTAACGAGAAAACTAGAAGCATTCGAAATGTGGGTGTACCGACGCATTCTTCGTATATCCTGGACCGAACATGTCACCAACATAGAGGTACTCCAAAGAATCGGAAAGGAGAAAGAAATCGTGAATACAATTAAACAAAGAAAGCTTGAATATCTAGGCCACATATTGAGACACGATAAGTACCGTCTGCTACAATTGACTGTCCAGGGAAAATAGACAGTAAGCGAGGGCCAGGCAGGAGAAGACACTCGTGGCTCCAAAATCTGCGGAAGTGGTTCGGGCTCACATCGGTCGAACTATTCAGAAGCGCCGCAAACAAGATCAAAATTGCCATGTTAATAGCCAACGTTCGCAACGGACAGGGCACTTGAAGAAGAAGAAGAAGACAGGAGAAAGAACAAAATAAGAAAAGGAAAGGTGAGAAATCTACATTATCACGAAAGAAACAAAAGGCGAATAAAACAGTAGTTGAAAGTAACAGTGAAAGCAGCATTGACGAACAGCAAGTTTACCAAGCTGAAAGCGATGTAGAGGATTTGACTCTAGAAGATATTATTGAAGATGACTGCGATGACGAGCCTTTATAAAATGGAGAAACAAATCTTGAAGCATATGAACTGAGGGAAAATGATTTTATTCTAACTAAATTTAATACTAAGAAGACGCAAGTTTACTACGTGGCACAAATTCTTAAAACTTATAAGAACGATGTAGAAGTAAAATATTTGAGGCGCAAAGGATTTAAATTTATTTTTCCAGCCATTGAGGAAAAGTACTTCATCGACAAAAGTGACATAGAAACTAGTGATGTAACGAATATTCGCATTCGCATTCGCGAATATTCGCATATTTTTGCATATTCGCATTTGCATTCGCATTCGCAAAATTTGTGCGAATGTTTTGCGAATATTACACAGCTTGCATTTAGCTCGTTCAGTATCGAAAAGTGGTGAAAAATAAGTCCATATTTCACTATAATTTGATTTACTCATAGTAATAAATCGTTAATCACACTTTAACTAAAAATTCACTTGTATTTGTGCACGAGCAGAGCAGGGCAAGTAGAGTGACTTGTGTCCAGTGAAATTTTTATTGGAACTATAACCAGAGAACTTAGTTCTCTGCTATAACTTTCTCTCTATAACAAGTCAAATTTGATTATAACAAGAGAAAATAAGATCGAAACACGTGCTTTCTACGTTTTTGGCCCGGACGTGACTATAAATAAATACCTTTTTAAACGACCCCTCAATAAACTTAACCGCCTACAATAAACTTCTTTACAATAAATACAACTGTTTCACATCTTTACTTTAGCAAATATGATAGAATGATACTGGACAATTTAAAGCAGTTAAAAATGACAGACTTTTTCCAATTGCCTACACACCTCGCGCAAATGAGACTGCCGGAGACAATTAAAATTGCTAAATTAAAAAAAAAAACTGAATATTCGCATTCGCATTCGCGAATGTCGGTGGCATATATTCGTATTCGCATTCGCATTCGCGAATGTTTAAAAAATGACATTTGTTACATCACTAATAGAAACGAAACTGCCCCTGCCATAAATAGAAAGTACGACCTGTCGTATCTCTTAGCAATATTGGTTTCCTATCGACTTTGAAAAGTACGTCGTTCAATAATATGTAGTACAAAAGAACTAGAATAATAATGTTTTTTTACTTTAGTTCTTTAAATCCAAATAAAAATCTTTTTTACCTCGTTTTTGAATTATGTATAGTTTATTTAACTTGTTTTTTTAAATTGTTTTCTTTAAGTTACATTCTTAGAGTTTTCTCTAAGATTATTCTTACAATTTAAAACCTAACTATGTTATTTGATTTAGTAAACGCTTAAAACCTTTGCATGTGTATCGTTTTTATTCCCCAGTGGCTTATTTGCACACTCATATAAAATAACCAAAAGCGCAGAAAATGCAGTGTCGTATTTTTAACCTCCCACTGTCTCATATTTAGCCTAAATAGTGGTTAAAAACGACACACCGTTTTCAAACAATTACTCTTTTTATTATAAACATTATAATTTTTTTTACTGTGAGGTAAACTACATGGCTTTCTCTATACAGGGCAATATGACAAAGCCTTAAAATCAGGTTTTTTGGTTACAAAAAATTTAAAGATTTAAAAATCGTCTAGTTTTTGCACCACTTGACCCTATTCATAAATTATTTAGCAAACATGCTTGATCACATAAATCTACAACAGTTTTTTTTTCTTATTTTTTACAATAATAAATCATAAACTTCAGAGTAAACATATAAACAAGTACTTTATTAATCTAGAATATGTTTTTCACAGAATTCATAACTTTAAAAATGGCTACAAAAATATTATACTAAGTACTAAAATATTAAAAAAAAATTTACATATTTTATGTCGACATACATAATTCGTACAACTCTACTATATTTTCCTCGCACTTTTTTTTCCATTCTTCATTTACGTCGTCCCACATCAAATTCAGAACTTCTGTTCTATAGTTGACATCGGTCCAGAATTGCTTATTTTTCGCAGGATCTTTTAGAATGTTCCCTAGTTTTTCTTTTGGTAGTCCCATAAATTTGTTATACAACATCCCAAGGAAGATACCATGTACTTTCAGTTCCCGTATGCTCTGTTTTAGATCCTTAAAAGGAGAAATTAGTTCAATATTCATACCAAATTGTCCCAAAGTTGATTTTAGTTCACTATGGTACTGTTCGAGAAGAAGATCCATATACTGATCTCTTGTTTCTTTGGTAGCATTTACATAAGTTACCATAAGAATGTCGATGGCTTGAGGGCAGTATTTGAGCAACTGGTAATCTATAATAACCGAGTGTTGGGGCTGTTTATTCGAGCCCCATGTAAAGAAAAGGTTAGGCTTCCATATATCGCCATGAGAAATAACATTTCTAAAGCTATCAGACTTTTTAACCGTAGAATACACTTGATTTAACTTGATTTTGGCCCTTCTTTTAAACTCCCCAATAGGTATATGTTTGGATAGATAAGAATATGCTTCCAAATCAGACACTGCGTATTGTATATGAGTATCATTTAATTCATTTGGAAGAATATGATATTCTTCGGTCAGGTCTTTAAAGTATTCATCAATCTTAATATTTTCTCCTAGAACTTTACTTAATCTATGTTCTATGAGAAACGACAAGGAATGCAACTTCGCCAACTGCCTTATAACTAAAGATAAATGTTCGTAATCAAAAAATTTCTCTTCTGTAGATGAATACCCCTGTACGGAGAGGTCATTTAAAACAATCAAGTCTTTTTTTACCAGATAACATTTCGGTAAGAAATCCATATCAGTCATACCTAGCTGTTCTGCTATTGGAACAAACGTGTTGTAGAACAGGATCTCTTTTTTGAAACCTTGTGGTGTCAACATTTCTTGGAAATATAACATTTTTAACGGCAATAACTTGATAAAAAACTTGATGTTAATAATCCTTTTTTCTTCTTCTATTGATACTGCAAGTTTTAGATAATCACTGAGATTACCATCTTTGATATTGATATCTTCTAAATAGTATGTTAAAAGTTTGTAATTTTTGTGTTTCATTCTTTTCCGGAGTACTTCATACACATCTTCTCTTAACATTTGTGGTATTTGTAAGTATTCTACCAGTTCTTGAAGAACTTCTTCAACAGGTGCTGACTTTTTACTAGAGGAAATTTGGTCTAATACCACTTCCAATTTTGCCAAGGGCAAGTAGCTTCGTATAATATCTTTAAACTCTTCTAGGGTCATCAAAAGCTCGAGATGTTTGTGTTGTAACAGTGATTGAGTAATAGAATCATAGCTGCAGCATACTAATTGGTCAAAAACAAACAATCTTTCTGCGCTTGTTGTATTTAGAAAAATAACTTTTAGAGATTTAAAAATTACATTTCTTACTTTACTATTTTTCCTAACGCTTTCTTCTCTTCGTAATTTTTCTAACAAATTTTCCACTTTCACAAGATTAATATCGTTATTAATGGATCTTATACATTTACACAATAGCTCGATATCAGATGGTTTTGTATTGGTTTTAGTTTCACTGCTATTATCTTTAAAGATTTGTTGCGGTAAAATATTCAGTAGCACTTGCACAGATGCAAAATCCATGTTTATCTTATCGTTGCTAAGGTGTAACTGAATAATTGTTTTGAGTCAACCTGTGATTTTCCAAGATTCGATTAAATAATAATCAGGCTTGCTAAGCGACACTTAAAATTGTTGTTATAAAAACTAGTCGTCCTAAATTATAGACAAATAAATATAATAATGATAGCAGTCATTAAATACAAGTTGTTATAGTCCAGTAAATAGTAAATTTAATTAAAACGAATAACCAACTTAAAATTAAAAGAATGTATATAGAATAAGTGTACTTGTTAGTAAATTAAAAGGTAAAAACAACTGTTGGAATAAATATAGTCTTCTACATTCTACGATGTCGAATTTTTTCACCGGAAGGCGTAAATTATAACTTTGATCCGCTTAAATCATTCTGTAAATTACGGAATGATCTAAATGGACCTTATAGTTATAAAGTCATCCGGACATATTTAGACTAAAATGTATATTACTATTTTGTCATATAATTTTTTTTGTAAGCGTGGCGTTAGAAAGTATATCTTTCAGACGCAACTAAACACGCAAACGAAAAAGAATTATGATAGATAGGTTTACATTCACTCGGTTTTTTATATTATGAATTGTTAGTTATTTTTTCAGTATATTAACATCGAAGGTTACAAAAACAATCAATACGGCAAAGCCACGAAAAGTTCCAGGTCCAGATGAAATATACGTAGAGATGATAAAGCTTATCAATGAAGAAAATCTTTAGGCCTTAACAAGATTATTTAACAAAATATATACCACTGGAATCTTCCCAGAAGACTGGCTTAAATCGACATTTACACCTATACCAAAGAAAACTAAAGCAAATAGATGTTTACAGTTCAGATTAATTAGCCTGATGAGCCATTTTCTAAAAGTTTTAATTAAAATTGTACATCAAAGAATATACAGAGAATGCGAAAGGAACCTGAGCGACAATCAATTTGGATTTTGTATGAGGCTTGGTACAAAGGATGTATTATTTGGCCTCCAGATATTACTACAAAAATGCCGAGATCAGCGAAAAGACGTGTTTCTCTGTTTTATCGACTACGAAAAAGCGTTTGATCGAGTAAAATACACAGAACTCATAACAATCCTAACACAACATGGTATAGACCATAACACTGTAGCACTTATTAAAAAGCTATATTGGGATCAAACGGCGTCTATCAAAATAGACAATCGTCTGACAGCAGAATTGCCAATAAAAAGAGGAGTTCGTCAGGGATGTGTACTTTCTCCACTGTTATTTTATATATATTCCGAAAAAATCTTTCAAAATGCCCTCGAAAATATAGAAGAAGGAATAAAAATCAAAGGAGAATACGTAAACAACTTAAGATACGCAAACGACACCGTCATTATTGCGGACAGTGCTGAAGGTTTACAACGACTTTTGAATATCATAACCAGAGAGGGAGATAGCTTGGGACTAAATATAAACATAAATAAAATAGAAGTAATGGCTGTTACATGTGCACCAAATGTCGACATTAATATTTGCATCTATAAAAAACATATGGAACCAGTACAAAGATTCCAGTATCTTGTATCCAGTATCTAACAAACGATCTTGACCACGAGGTCGAAATACGTGCTCGTATAGAATATGCTGCATTGGTCTGCAGGCAACTGCATTGGTCTGCAGGCTAAACTAAGTGAGGGTAGCCAGATATGGCGACAATTCTACCGAGCGATTGCTGGTATAAGCAATCCCCCACTTACCTACCAACGGCTTCGGGCGGATGAGTTGGTAAGTGGCAGGGCACTCTTTTGTCCTGAGATAGAGAAATCTGTCTCGAAGGCGAATGAATTAAGGAATGGTCAACGGCGTAAGGATACAGAAGGCAACGGGAAACAACTGTATTAATGATCTTGAAGATTCCCTAGTATAATCATGATGGCAAATGTCACATCAATCACTCATGTTACTGATCATGGACCTCGGAACCAAAGATCCGACAGGAGAGGAAAACCACACACAGACCATAGGGCCTCTCAGGTCGTGAACCAGCGAAATCCCTGTGTAAGTAATATCAATCACCTTAAGATATTAAGAATAGCGACGTGGAATGTAAAAAGCCTCTTTGCAGCAGGTAAATTAAATAATGTAGCCCTTGAAATGGAAAAACTTAAAATTGATGTCCTAGGTATAACTGATGTACAGTGGCCAGGATTAGGAAAATGTACGAATAACAGTGGAACACTTTATTATTCAGGCAACATCAGTTCAACTCATCGTTACGGTGTCGCTGTCTTGGTATCAAAGAAAATCAGTAACTGTGTAACAAGCTTTACTCCCTTCTCTGATAGAATAATGACACTACAACTTCAGTCAAATAAACAAATTATAAATATTATACAAGTATATGCTCCTACGGCTGATAAAGATGATGATTAAATTGAAAGTTTCTATTACGATCTGGAACAAATTCTAAAATCAATGAAGAAACATCATACTACAGTAGTAATGGGCGATTTTAATGCCAAAATTGGACATGGATGTGTGGACGGTTATGTGGGTGACTATGGATTAGGAGAACGAAACGAACGAGGAGACCGTATGGTACAATTTTGTCAAGCGGAGGAGTTAGTAGTTGCTAACACTCTTTTCAAGTTACCTAACAGACGACTGTACACATGGAAATCTCCGAGTGACACCAAAGGTAGAGTAGTCAGAAACCAAATTGACTTTGTCCTTGTTAGTCAAAGATTCCGCAACTCTATACTCTCAGCTAAAACCTACCCAGGAGCAGATATAGGCTCGGATCACAATCCTGTAGTAGTCACATTAAGAATAAAACTAAAGATCATTAAAAAACACATACAGAAACAAATTGACGTGAGAAGACTGAATGAACAACATATAAAAGAGAAAACAATAGTGAACATCAAAGAAAATTTACAAAATATAGAGAAACTAAATAGAAATACTGATAACATAGACCAAAAATGGGAGAATATTAAACATGCCGTAATGTTGGCAGGGAGAGAAAATTTAACACCGAAAGAAAGGAAACATAAAGTACTACAGTTGATGCGTGAAAGAAGGGTACACAAAACAAATAACCCGATAAGATACAAAGAAACAGATAAACTGATAAAAAAGAAAATAAGAGAAGCTAGAGAAAGATGGCTAAGTGAGCAATGCCAGGAGTAGGAACAATTGGAGCGAAAATATGACTTTTTTAATGTACACAAAAAGATTAAAGAAATGACAGGAAGGAGAAGAACAACACAGACAGGACAGATCAAAGATACAGATGGTATAATTATAACAGATTTACAACAAAAAGTAAACCGATGGGCAGAATACATATCAGAACTGTTTGATGACAAAGATAGACAAGAAATCTCAAACGAATATACATATGATACAGGGCCTGATATAATCAGAGAAGAAATAGAATATGCAATCAAACAAGCAAAAAGTGGTAAGGCCCCCGGTCCTGATGAAATTCCCGTAGAACTGCTCAAACTTATGGACGATGAATCTATTAAAATACTCCTAGATCTATTTAACACAATATATAGAACTGGAATAATACCTAGGGAATGGCTCCGTTCGACCTTTATAGTACTGCCAAAAAAGGCAAATACAAAGGAATGCAACGAATATCGTACGATAGCTTTGATGAGTCATGCTCTAAAACTGTTCCTAAAAATAATCCATAATAGGATCTATAGGAAATTAGACGTAGACATCAGTAACACTCAGATGGGATTCAGAAAAGGGCTGGGTACAAGGGAGGCTCTGTTTGCAATGAACGTTCTCTCACAGAGATGCTTAGACATGAACCGAGAAATTTACGCCTGCTTTATTGATTTCGAAAAGGCCTTTGACAAAGTACAAAATGAACCACGAAGACAAGTTCTAATAAAGAAAAATATAGACAGCCGAGATATTCGAATTATATGCAATCTATATTGGAATCAAACAGCAAATGTCAAGGTTGAGGGCAGACTAACAGAAGAAATTCAAATCCGTCGAGGAGTCCGGCAGGGATGTATCTTATCGCCACTTTTATTTAATCTGTATAGTGAAGCTATCTGTAGACAAGCACTCGAGGAAGAAGATCTTGGTCTGATAATAAATGGTGAGACGATCAACAATATAAGGTATGCTGACGATACAGTTCTCCTAACGGGAACGCTAGTAGAACTACAACATCTCGTTCAAAGTCTCAATATATACTGTAACAGTTACGGCTTGAAAATTAATTTGAAAAAAAATAAATTTATGGTAATCACGAAATCAAAGAGCATCAGATTTATTTTTATTTAGCGTATGGCTACATCACAGTTTCATATAAATATAAATATATAAATATAAATTATATAAATTACAAACAACAGTAAATATAAAAATATTATTCTACAAACAAACATCTAGATTATAAATATATTCGATTGACTCTTTTGTAGCAGCCAGGAAATCTGAAAGAACATCAGAGCTAATCTTGTAATAGACAATACAACGATTGAGCGTGTGCCCTGTTATAAATATCTAGGTGCTTGGATCACAGACGATACTGATCAAACAAAAGAGATTAGATGTAGAATAGAAATCGCTAGATCAGTCTTTAATACAATGCGCAAACTCTTTTGCAATCGTGATATCAATATAAAGTTACGAATACGAATGCTGCGGTGTTATGTCTTTTCTACCCTGTTATATGGAGTTGAGGCTTGGACACTAAAACAGTTGACCATAAAAAACATCAAAGCTTTCGAGATGTGGTGCTATAGGCGCATTCTCAGAATATCATGGATGGACCGCGTCACTAACACGCAAGTACTCCAAACTTTAGACAAAAGATGCGAAATTCTAAATGAGATAAAAACTAGAAAGATGGAATACTTGGGGCACATTGTGAGAGGTGAAAAGTACGAACTTTTAAGAAACATCATGCAGGGCAAAATTAAGGGCAAAAGAAGTGTGGGAAGAAGAAAAATATCGTGGCTTCGTAATCTACGTGAATGGTTCGGGTGTAGTTCGATTAAACTTTTTAGGCGCGCTGCTAAC